AATATAATGTTTAAACAAACTACAGAGAAAGAAACATACTGTACAGGAGTGCTTGCTACAATAAGCAGTAAAGTAATATATCACTTGTACAATAACACAGAAAAATACGAAAATTCAACTTACATAACCTGTCTGAACAAAATAAGATTTGATGAATGTTTTAGCTGCTCGTTTTCTGTTTGTACACTTAGAACTTTAGGATAACATTTTCAATTTTAAGTTGCTATACAAAAGTTTTAAATATCAGAAATTTCTTTTTCAGGTTTATTAAACAATATAAATTTTATATAAAATTTTAAAATATCCTGAATTACTTTACAATTTATTGACATATTTTAATTTTGTTTTATTAGTTTTATAAAACTGTAATATCAATATAGCTATAGGTTAAGCACTAATTGTAATTAAGAAGCAATAAAATTATTATCTTCAAAAACTAAGACGGTTAGATGAGGTTGTGGTTTTCTATTCAGTTTTTTAGGTAAACTCAAATATTCACAATATATTTGACTACGATTTAATACTAAGTAAAAATAAGTACAATTCCTAACTGCTATGAATAGTACATAATTGTACTTATTTCTCATCTTACATTTACCACCCCATTTTTGGAGGACGGGCTGTGTGAAGAGTACCTCCAGAGTCACAACGAACTATTTTCATTTTCAACGACCCATCATCGTGTCCTTGAACACCATCTCCACCATGGGTGTTCTTGAAGTGCTCTTGAAGCTTGGGTGGCTTCAGATCTGAGCTGGACAACTCATCGCTACAGAGAGTGCACTGAGGGTTTGCAAGCCATCATTTCCTGTTGTGTAAGTGAAACCAAAGCTCACACAGTCATCATTCTGTTTCCGACTTCTTGACATGATGAAATGTTAATCTGATAAATAGGAAGAGAAAATATGAGTTAATGCACCTGGTCATAAAGCACATTTTCATAAATCTTTTGTCCAAACATTGCAAACAAGATAACAAATAATAATTTAATTATATATATTGTGATAAAGGACAGGTTCAACACAAGGAAAAATTATAAGCTAGTTTGGCCTGAAAAGATATAATGACTTCTGATAATTTGTCAATTATAGCCCCCGTCCTCCTGAGTAGAGGTCATACCATACATGAGTATCATGCAGACAGCGAGTCACAATAACATGGCTGAACAAATGATGACCAAACCACACATCAGAATATGAAGCAACGAGGACGTTTCGGTCCGTCCTGAACCTGGAGCCAGATTCACGCAAGCACTTACGACCCTGTACGTCTTTTTTCAATCTTTGGCGGCTTTGTTTCCACTTATTAAACAGTTAATGAGTTCCGAAGCACCAGGAGGCTGTTTATAACACTAACAACAGTTGATTGGAAAGTTTTCATGCTTGTAAATTGTTTAATAAATGTAACCAAAGCCGTCAAAGATCGAGGAAAGATGTACACGTTCGTAAGTGTTTGCGTAAGTGCTTTCGTGAATCTGGCCCCTGATCAATAGTTCAGGACGGACCGAAACGTCGTCGTAGATGTCAATATATACATATGTGTCACCCCCTCTTGTTCAGTAGGTGTCAAATTATACATATACATTATTTTATCAATTATGCTACTTTGCTGACTGATGCTGAACGTTTTTTTATTAATATGCTGTAACCCCCCCCCCACCCCCCACCAACACTCATATTTTGCTGATGATGTAAAAACGAAGAATTATAAACAATGGACTGTCGGGGAACGACACGATGAGTTGGACAAACAATGAATGGTCGAACACGTGTCTGTTAGAATTTAACCCGAGTAAGTGCAAGGCAATGCAGCTGTTTCCGGGAGCTGCACGCCGGACACAACACCAAATTGGAGGTGGAATCCTCCTGGAACTATGACGGAGAAAATGACCTGATAGTTGGCACTACCACACACCTGTCACCTGATGACTGGCACCACACCTGTCACCTGATGGCTGGCACCACACCTGTCACCTGATGGCTGGCACCACACACCTGTCACCTGATGGCTGGCACCACACACCTGTCACCTGATGGCTGGCACCACACACACCTGTCACCTGATGGCTGGCACCACACACACCTGTCACCTGATGGCTGGCACCACACCTGTCACCTGATGGCTGGCACCACACCTGTCACCTGATGACTGGCACCACACACCTGTCACCTGATGGCTGGCACCACACCTGTCACCTGATGGCTGGCACCACACACCTGTCACCTGATGGCTGGCACCACACCTGTCACCTGATGACTGGCACCACACCTGTCACCTGATGGCTGGCACCACACACCTGTCACCTGATGGCTGGCACCACACACCTGTCACCTGATGGCTGGCACCACACACACCTGTCACCTGATGGCTGGCACCACATCTGTCACCGGATGGCTGGCACCACACACTTGATGGCTGGCACCACACACCTGTCACCTGATGGCTGGCACCACACCTGTCACCTGATGGCTGGCACCACACCTGTCACCTGATGGCTGGCACCACACACCTGTCACCTGATGGCTGGCACCACACACCTGTCACCTGATGGCTGGCACCACACACACCTGTCACCTGATGGCTGGCACCACACCTGTCACCTGATGGCTGGTACCACACACTTGATGGCTGGCACCACACACCTGTCACCTGATGGCTGGCACCACACCTGTCACCTGATGGCTGGCACCACACACACCTGCCACCTGATGGCTGGCACCACACCTGTCACCTGATGGCTGGCACCACACACCTGTCACCTGATGGCTGGCACCACACCTGTCACCTGATGGCTGGCACCACACACCTGTCACCTGATGGCTGGCACCACACACACCTGTCACCTGATGGCTGGCACCACACCTGTCACCTGATGGCTGGCACCACACACCTGTCACCTGATGGCTGGCACCACACCTGTCACCTGATGGCTGGGACCACACGTCACCTGATGGCTGGGACCACACCTGTCACCTGATGGCTGGGACCACACCTGTCACCTGATGGCTGGGACCACACCTGTCACCTGATGGCTGGGACCACACCTGTCACCTGCTCCGTCATCAAGGCTGACCACTATAAGAACTACCTCCAGGACCCAGGACTAGCACTCAGGAACCATTCACGCGGCCACTGACGAAACCTGTACATCTTTCCTCAGTCATGGTGTCTGTGGTTACATTTACTTAACAGTTTACGATCTTGTCGACTTTACAACGGAAGGTTATTGTTATAAACAACCTTGTTGTGCTTGGCAGCTCATAAACTGCTTGGTAAATGTAAACAATCTACGTCATTGGTTGAGGAAAGATATCCAGCTTACGTTAGTGGTTGTGTAAATGGTTGCTGAACCCCGGCTCTGAACAAAAAGTCGTTCGGGACCTTGTACTCCACGTATGTCAGACCAGCTGCAGGGTATGCAGCGCCAGCGTGGAGTGCTCACAGCGTTGAGCACAAAGCTCAGCTGGAGGAGGTTGAGAGGCGTGTGCCAGACTTGTGATTGATTGATTGATGAAGATTAAGCCGCCCAAAAGGTGGCACGGGCATGAATAGCCCGTAAGTGGTGGCCCTTAGGAGCTCATTAGCTGATACTGGAGATCTGTGGAGGTGCGACTGCACCCTGCGGAGAGGTCGTGACCTCTGCAGGGGCCAGATTCACGAAAGCACTTACGCAAGCACTTACGAACGTGTACATCTTTCCTCAGTCTTTGACGGCTTTGGTTACATTTGTTAAACAGTTTACAAGCCTGAAAACTTGCCATTCAACTGTTGTTATTGTTATAAACAGCCTCCTGGTGCTTCAGAGCTCATTAACTGTTTAATAATTGTAAACAAAGCCGTCAAAGATTGAGAAAAGATGTACAGGTTCGTAAGTGTTTTCGTGAATCTGGCCCCTGGTTTGTAACAGAAGAAGACAACATAAACAGCCCTGGCGTCACGTGAAGACAAAAGCCAGAGGTGAAGCGCGCTCACTACAGAGACCTGGCGCTCAGTGCTGGTACACCGATCAACGCATCTCACAATCCGGGTTCGAGCCCCGGGCAGGTACAGATATGGTTGGGCACGTTTCCTTTCATCTGTTGCCTGTGTTTATCTAGCAGTAAATAGGTACCCGGGAGTTAGGCAGCTGTTGTGGGTAGCATCCTGGTGAGGGTCAGTAGTTGGGCTCGAACACATGGCAGAGAAGTAAGTTGGGGTTATTGCATTATGCAACCGGCAGGTGTTAAATGTATTAAATATATATGATAATTATGGGTAAAAAATAGATTAATACACTCACCACGGACACACTCACCACGGACACTCACCACGGACACAAACACTCACTCACCACGGACACAAACACTCACTCACCACGGACACAAACACATCAAACAGAACAAACACAAGTGCCTGTTGTTTACCATTGTTTGTAAACACTACATTGTTTACAAACATCGTCTGGTGTGTGTGTTTGGTCATCATAAACTCTATCGTGTTTCTAATTGTTATTAAATAACAGAAATTTATTATGAATATGTTCAAAATGAAGGCAATAGGCCTAATGGAGACTCCCGGATGAATCAAGACTTCCGGAAGTGAGTATAATGTTAATGTTGTATTACTCACATGGTTCTGGGAAGGTATTAATAACTCATGTTGTTATCCACATCATGTGGTTGAGGCGGCGAGGCGCCCGCTAGAACAAACTGCTTATGTGGGCCTCGCCATGCGCGGGTGATGACGTCACAACCGGTAGAGGTTCTCATTAGTCATGTGGGTGATGACGTCATAACTTGCCAGGCTTCTTGCTCGCTCGACATGAAATATATTATAAATTAATTTATATTTCACTTTATTTGCAGTTAATTGGAATTATATATAATTATATTTTATACTTATTCGTAAACTTGATGATTCTGCAAGTGAGTTCCTTACAGATGAATACGATAGTTAAGGTATAATATAATAAGTTGTCTGATGATGCTTGGCATTTAGCGTTACATATATATGAGGGTGCGTGGCCGTGATTGGTTCATACTCACCTGGCGCAGGAGACCCGGTGTGCGCAGAGTTGGTCAGTCGTGTTGTGACCGTTGGTGTAGTAACACGTCTCATGATGAAGCTCTCAGTGTCATGCTGGACCCTGGTCCTCGTGGCGGCTGTCAATGCTGCCCCAAGTAAGTATCCAAGTTAAGATAATCAAACACAAGTCTCTGTTTTGAATGACTGACTGTAAACAGTTTTCACTTATTTTTACACTTAGGTTAAGTTAGATCCATTTATTAAATATGTGTAAAGTACATAGGTTGACATGACCCAGAAAACTGTAGGCAGGTCATGTCTTTGTGTGACCCGAGCTCCAGTCTTGGCTAAGTCCAGTAGCGTAGTTCGCTCACAACCGCATGGTCCCGGGTACGATTCCCCAGGGTGCAGCGTTTCCTTCCACTTAATGCCTTTTGTTAGCCAAGCAGTAAATAGGTACCCCTGGAGCTAGGGAACTGTTGTGGGTTGTATCCTGGCAGGGTCAGTAGTTGACCTTACGGGAGGGGGACTTTGAGAAGCCTAAACAACTTCCAATCCCCGACAATGGAAACCATTCCACATTGTATATCATACTCCTAAAATATTGAATTCTTTGATATACTATATAGCTTCCAATGTTGATAGCTTCATAGCAATGTATAGCTTTGATATAGCTTCCAATGTTGACCTTACAAGGTGCAGGCAGCTCTAAACTTTTGATAACTACTTGTCTATACGCTGACCACTACAGTCAACATGATCCCTACTGTGTGCAGACTCGCCAGTGGTGGTGAGTGCCCCGGAAGACGTGACCAGCCACAACTTGACAGTTCCAACTGCCCGTGACCACGGCGTGTCCGAGGACGCCAGCAAGACCAACAAGCAGGAGAATGACTACCTCGATGATTCTGACTATAGGTAAGTGCTCAACACACAACGTTGACGCAGTCACCTGTGGCCACAGTGGCTACAACCACGTCAAGTGGACGATAATAAACGTCATCGACGTTGATTCAACGTAGATAACGTTAAATTAACGTTAATCGATCATGTTCTGCCCACTGGGTATCTTAATGTCAATCAAATGTTTAAACGCAATTTTGATATTCATTCAAATCCATTTAATTATGCAAATTCTAAATTTCTTTTGTTTTCTAAGTTTGAAATAACAATATAAAATGGTTTATGAGAGCATCTAAACTGTTCTCTTGGTGTTGGGGATTATGTAGGAGAACATCTGTTATTACATTTATGATGAGGATTTCTTCTGGGTTTATTCCCAGTATCCGAACCACTTGGGCTGGACGGTAGAGCGACGATCTCGCTTCATGCAGGTCGGCGATCAATCTAGGACCGTCCAAGTGGTTGGGGCACCATTCCTTCCCCCCGTCCCATCCCAAATCCTTATCCTGACCCCTTCCCAGTGCTATATAGTCGTAGTGGCTTGGCGCTTTCTCCTGGTGGCGCCGTTTCCCTCCCCAGTGCTGACTGGCCACTGTGTGTGTTGCCAGAACCAGTAAACACGTAACAAAAGCCTAAGCCAATGTGCACAACTTTCTCAGTGGTTTAAGTGTTGTGTTTGAAGCTGTGTGAGTGTCCACACATACAGTTGTTGCTTGTCAGTCTCAGGAATACCTGTGAAAAATTTAGCTGACCATTTTGAAAATATTCCTTGGGCCAGATTCATGAAAGCACTTACGCAAGCACTTACGAACCTGCACATCTTTTCTCAATCTTTGGCGGCTTTATTTCCAATAATTAAACAGTTAATGAGCTCCGAAGCACTAGGAGGCTGTTTATAACAATAACAACAGTTGATTGGCAAGTTTTCATGATTGTAAACTGTTTAATAAATGTAACCAAAGCCGTCAAAGATTGAGGAAAGATGTACACGTTCGTAAGTGCTTGCGTAAGTGCTTTCGTGAATCTGGCCCCTTGTTATTGTGTAATAAACGAATGAGCAATTTAAGTTGAATAAAATTTTGAATAATTTTCAGAAATACGGCATCGAAGCAAATTCGGGCGCCATTTTAGTTTATCAAAGCTGAATATTTATTCTTTGTTGTGTTTTACGGCTTTGTTTACGTTCGTGTAACTTTACAGTGAAGACGACACTGAAGACGTCTCGGGAGCGTTCGAGAGCGACATCGACGAGACCTACACGAACATGAAGCGTCGTTTGATCGGTGAGTGTTGACTGAGGGTTCTGTTTCCCCGCTCTACTGGCAACAACCAGTAACGTTAATTCAACGTTGAATCGACGTCTGATGACACTCGGGTGACGTTAGATCAACGTTAATATTTCTGATTAAGCTTTACTCGACCATATTTTGCCAGCGTGGGTGTGACGGACATGAAGCCAGGGACGTTGTTGTTGTTGTTTTAGATTTAGCTACTCAGAACGAAATGTTCATGTAGCACGGGCTATGGTGAGCCCGTAATTGAGTTCGGTTATTTGCGATAACTTTGTTACTCTGATATTTGGGTCAAAGTTTTAAATGGAGGTGGGGTTTCCTCCTTTTTTCCTGTTTCTTTTTCGCTTCTGTTTTAATCTTGTCTTAATAACATTATCTTGGTGGCGGATGTAGGTGCAGAATGTTCACTAGTGAGTCCCATTCTTCAACAGCTCTTCTAATTATTGTAGTCGCTGTGGAATGTGCATCTAATGCAGCTGCTGTCGTTGGATTAATGTCGAGTTTGATACATAGGGCTTCAATAGCTTCACATTCTAGTAAGTAGTGCAATAGTGGCGCCTCTGCTTCAGTTTCACAGATATGACAGTTTAACTATTGGGTTTATTACCTTATTATAACCAAGTCTGAGTCTGTGTATGGCTACTGCAATGTCTCTGGATATCTTTTTTGTCAGGCTTGAAGGAGTAGTACCCAGTGGCTTGTTCGTACCATATCGCAGTGGATCTTCCTTCCGCTACTTTGGCTCTGTGGCGACTTTTGATAGTTGGGAGTATTTTCATCTTGATTTGCTCCTAAATCTGTGAAAAACTTGGAGGTATTTGAACCTGTACAACAGGTAGAGCAGTGGCAGTTTTTGCTAGTGAGTCTGCCTTGTCATTACCATCTATGCCAATGTGACTTGGTATCCAATTTAGGGTGATTGACAGCACTAGATAATGGCCTTCTTTTCCTATATGTTGGATTTCTGTATATTATCTCTGTGTTGACTGGATAACAATGCCTGGAGCGAAGAGTTAGAGTCGGTATGAATAATGACATCATGTAGCCAGGGACGTTGTTGTTGTTGTTGTTTTAGATTCAACTACTTGGAACAAAAAGTTCCAAGTAGCACGGGCTATGGTGAGCCCGTAGCCAGGGACGTGTTGTGACTCTTATATGAGGGAGAGAGAGAGAGGGGAAGAGGGTGGACAGCCATCAGTAACACATCAAGGTACAACACAATTCTTCCATCCAATAAACAACACACTTTCCGTAACAATATAAACAGATGTTCCAAGAGTCTAGGATTCGAACCCTGAGGCACGAGGCTGCCCTGTGCATACAAAGGTGCCGTGAAGGTGACCAGTGTACAGAGGTGCCGTGAAGGTGACCAGTGTACAGAGGTGCCGTGAAGGTGACCAGTGTACAGAGGTGCCGTGAAGGTTACCAGTGTACAGAGGTGCCGTGAAGGTGACCAGTGTACAGAGGTGCCGTGAAGGTGACCAGTGTACAGAGGTGCCGTGAAGGTGACCAGTGTACAGAGGTGCCGTGAAGGTGACCAAACACTATGAACCTTCCCTGTTCTGAACAGCTTTGTGTACATTTGCTAATATTAATGTGTAAATGACATAACGGAAATTTTCTTTGTTGTATAAAAAGGTGGAGAGCATAAAGCATTGTTTAACCTTTTCCGGATGTTTAGCACTGGCGGGACGGAGCCCTGGTCGACCTTGTTACTGCGCAGAAGGTGACCTCTGAAGGTGAGGACGGCACACGGGGTCCTAACACCTCCAAAATGGCCGCACATGACACGGTGTCATGTGTCATGGGAAACAGGATTGTGGATTTACGGCACACATTATCAGGTGACACAACAGTCGTTGTGGGTCGCTGAAGAATGTGTCAGATGACAGTGTCCGTGTCACGAGCACCTGACGCCGCTAGTGAGGGGGGGGGGGGCTGATAGGCCTTCTCCAGTGTCCGTCATTTATATCTTTTGATGTTAGCTGGTGGTGCAGGTGGTGGTGTGTGCAGGTGGTGGTACAGACAGCTGGTGTGTGTTCACGCCAGCACAACGCCCAGATATCACAAAGATGAAACGTTTCACGGGGTAAAAGTTTGTAAGAAATATATGAGAAACATTTTGGTACGCCATTTCAAGTCACTTCTTATATTAGATGAAATACTTTAAAACTTATTCGTTCATTGTATAACAGATTCTATGCTATATTACAGAATACATGGTATTAATATTATATAATGTTTGTAACATGTGTTATGATGCACAATGACCTTCGTCGTGTCGACAGAGGACAACAACCGCCTGCAACACGACCTGCTGTTGATCCGTCGCCTGATGGGTCTCCTGCCCTTCGCTGGGAGGTCCGGCGGGTCCTCCTTCTCCCTGTGGGGCTTCCCCAGCTACGGGACCCCGACCAACGACACCGACGACGCCGACTACCCGACCTCAGAGAACGGTTCCGTGTTGTTAGTTCCGGTGGGCGACTTCGACTTCCCGACCTTTGGCTTTGGCTTGGACCGTCCGCTCTTCTCTAACTTCCCGGACTTGCCGGTAAGTGGAACATTAACATGGGAGATGGAAAGTTAGTGGAGGAATACGAGGAATAGGGTAAGAGAGTTATCTTGAGGTTATCTTGAGATGATTTCGGGGGCTTTTACCGTCCCCGCGGCCCGGTCCTCGACCAGGCCTCCACCCGCAGGAAGCAGCCCGTGACAGCTAACTAACACCCAGGTACCTATTTTACTGCTAGGTAACAGGGGCATAGGGTGAAAGAAACTCTGCCCATTGTTTCTCGCCGGCGCCTGGGATCGAACCCAGGATCACAAGTCCAGTGTGCTGTCCGCTCGGCCGATCGGCTCCAGTCGGATATATTAAAACAAAAATGGAGGGAGTGAGAGAGGGCAGGACCAGGAGATGTAGGATTATGTGTCATGATAGAGGGCACCATGCTGGTAGCACAGTGGTGCGTAAGATGCTAGCATGTTTGGTGTTGCTGTAGTGTTGTGGTGTCCACAGGTGCCGCCCACGATGCTAGCATGTTTGGTGTTGCTGTAGTGTTGTGGTGTCCACAGGTGCCGCCCACCTTCCCCAACGTGGACGACCTGCCGGACAACTACGACAACTCCACCCATGAAGTCCACGTGGTCAACGGTACTCGCATCGAGGTCAACACCACCACCAACAAGGAGTCTGAAGATGGCTTCAAGACCTTCTTCCACACCGAGGTGAGCCTTCCTCGCCTCCTTCAGCTGGTGCTGCTGTTAGTTCTGGCTTTGTTCCGCCCGGGACACTTCTCTAAAATGTTTCAACCACTAATATTTCTGCCCCGGATGTCTTTGGCTTGAAAAATTTGATTTCCAGATAACTTGGTTAACCCTTATCTTGAGGTTATCTTGAGATGATTTCGGGGCTTTTTTTTTTAGTGTCCCCGCGGCCCGGTCCTCGACCAGGCCTCCACCCTCAAGAAGCAGCCCGTGACACCTGACCAACACCCAGGTACCAAATTTACTGCTAGGTAACAGGGGTATAGGGTGGAAGAAACTCTGCCCATTGTTTCTTGCCGGCGCCTGGGATCGAACCCAGGATCACAAGTCCAGCGTGCTGTCCGCTCGGCCGACCGGCTCCCTTAGACTGCAGTTTCCATATGTGAGCGTTAATCATTGATTGGGTTCATGTGTGTGTGTTAACATCTGGGTTCCTGAAGGTCGTCAGCTGGTGCCTAGTTCCTGCTTCTGAGCGACGGAGGTTTCAGGGAACACTGGACATGTTGTGTAAAGTTTGTCAGTGTCTCAGTGCTCTCACACCTACCATGAGGAGAGTATGTCGTCTCCCTCCGACCTGTGGCTCGGCAAGCTGGGTACTCGTGACGGAGTATATGAGGATGATAGTGAGTGTGGTCCCCTCACTGAACTTCTGGATACATCTTCTTCATAATTTTATCTTTTATTTGTTCTTCTGTTGATGGGGTTAGTTTTATGTTGGGGTTAAGACACATTAACCTCTGAAGGGTTAAGACCTTAAGAATAGTTTACAGGTAGAGCAGCAAGTATACTTTAGACTGAACATAGTCCAGGATTAAAGTAAACTCTTAGTATATATACATCGAGAACTTGGGTACGACTATATATAATACTGGAGCCGCTAACTACTCCACTACAAGGACCTTGTTGCTACAAGGACTACAACGGTGCTGTGGGAACAATCCCCACTCACCATGGTAACTAAAATTTACTCGTGTAATTGACCCATGATCTTTATACTTATTATTTTATGTTTATAAGAAACACAAAATTATGTTGTCAGTTTTCCACAAGTGTGGCACAGAAGCGGACAGCTCCTGGCTCGTGTTAGCCGAAGCGGGTGTTGTACCGGCGGTGGCCGACACTTTAACATGGCATGTGCTGTGATGCGCAATTTACAGCAAGTTACTCAACACTTCATATGACGTGATGCGCAGTTTAAGGGTTAATGTCTTCCCACATCTGCTCCTCCTTGACTTTGTCCTATACTGTTGATCTTGTCCTCAGGTGATCGCCATCCGTCCTGAAGACGACCACAACACCACAACCACACAGGTAGGTCTCTGCACTACAACCATACAAGTAACATACATGTTGGTTTTATACACTGTACCATACATGTAGGTACCATGTGTGGGTCTCCAGCACTGTACCATACATGTAGGCACCATGTGTGGGTCTCCAGCACTGTACCATACATGTAGGCACCATGTGTGGGTCTCCAGCACTGTACCATACATGTAGGCACCATGTGTGGGTCTCCAGCACTGTACCATACATGTAGGCACCATGTGTAGGTCTCCAGCACTGTACCATACATGTAGGCACCATGTGTGGGTCTCCAGCACTGTACCATACATGTAGGCACCATGTGTGGGTCTCCAGCACTGTACCATACATGTAGGCACCATGTGTAGGTCTCCAGCACTGTACCATACATGTAGGCACCATGTGTGGGTCTCCAGCACTGTACCATACATGTAGGCACCATGTGTGGGTCTCCAGCTCCAGTTAATGGTTAGTAATTTACATGTCGTTAAAGATATGCTACATAACACCTGACCTATGATGACTGCGAATCATTTTCACACAATTGTGAGAGTCAGGTCTTGTAGGCCATTGATGACATTTTCCTCCCAGTGGTCTTGAATACAATACAATTTATACTTTAAATGTTATGCAGTAAAATAGGAAATATGATTTTGATAATAACTCTTAAAACACAATTCAAAATTATTTCTTCCGTGTTTGGACTGCGTTTGCAGCTGATTTTTCCATTGAGTTTATTACTTAATTTATTTATATTCAAGAAGGTACATTGGTGGTGTGTGTTGCTGAGGAAGTCTTGGTTGTAGGGTTGATATAAAGCCATTGCTTAGTTACTGACTTTAATACTTACATGAGTAGCAGCTTCCAACCTCAGCGGACGTCCTGTACGCTCTCTGTTTACATACTGCTGGCGTATGAAACGCAGCGCATACAAACGGATGGTGGCGTTTGCTATGAACATGACAATTGGGTTGTGAGGGTACTTAACATTGGTGTTCTTACAAAGCCACTAACACGCAAAGTGTTTCGGGCAGGTCCTCAGTCTAACAGATAAATGTCAGAGTAATTAAAAGATACATTGTAGCAGATTTTAAATTACACACAAGTTATCACAATAACAATATATAATTATTTTATAGATTTTACTGGTGGTGTATGTCTTGAGTACTAATGTTGGGAGTGAGTAGCACAAGATGGAGTGAGACTTTGAAGCACAAGGCAGGATATTATGATTATCTAATTAGGTACTTTTTGGTTTAACTTTTGAGTAAAGCATAGGTTGAATTTTTTTTAATTCATTAGGAGTTAAATAGGCTGGTCCCTTTTATTTGCATAGATTTAGTCTGGCTCGAGGGATATCAAAGAGATGTTTATATCTGGTGTGGTGCTCATGGGTTCTATTACCATGGAGGAGTTTCAGGTCAGGATTAGCATTTAGGAACAAGGTTTTCTACATGTAAACAGCACAAGAGAATGTAGTGAGTGTGCATGTTCAGCATGCATAGTAGGGATTTAAAGTTGACAAAATAAAACAAACTTTTTACTGAATTTTTCTCCCCTTTATTATGTACCTTATACCAATCTTATGGGCGGTAGTGGAAAGGGTTACAGAGGCACATAATGGGCTCAGGAATTGAACTCAGACAAACAATATTGATTTTAACAGACGGAGGAAGGCACCAAGGCGACCCGCCCGACGGAGAACGGGAAACCGACGGTCCCGGAGGTAGAAAACGAGGCTGGCTCATCAGGGGTAACTCTCCCACCAGTGCCGGAGGTGAATACCAGTACCACCACCAGTACTAGTGGCATCTTCCTTTAATGCTTATTCCTCCACATTGGACTCATCTCTCAAGCTCCTTGATGCTGTGGCCAGAAGCCTCAATAAGCCTCAGGTCGGCTTATCATCTTTACACTAAACCATCACAAAGCTTTATCAACATCCATCACTTCGACAACTGACATAAAGCTGTGTTTGTATTAACCATTTAGTTATTAATAAAGTATACGCCACCTAAAAAGTTCATGAATGAATTGTATCTAAAGTGCGCAATCCTTACACATGACGTGCTATTCTGAGCCAGAGGAAGCGAACTACAATATCCGTGTCCGGATATCAATATCTACAATATCTACAATAACAGTCTCCGTGGTGTAGTGGTAAGACACTCGCCTGGCGTTCCGCGAGCGCTATGTCATGGGTTCGTATCCTAGCCTGGGAGGATTTACTGGGCGCAATTCCTTAACTGTAGCCTCTGTTTAACGCAACAGTAAAATGTGTACTTGGATGAAAAAACGATTCTTCGCGGCGGGGATCGTATTCCAGGGACCTGCCCGAAACGCTACGCGTACTAGTGGCTGTACAAGAATGTAACAACTCTTGTATATATCTCAAAAAAAAAAAAAAAAAAAAAATCTGGCTATTTACCAGACGACGCCTCGCCGGAGCCGCCATAAACTCCAGATAGGATATAAATGAAACCCAAAAAGTGAAATCATGCTATGAACCGAACATAATACTGTATTAAATACTACATGTAGCTTTCAGCCCTAACACTGTGAATAACGCCTTATTAAAACTGAACCTAACCCTCAGATTACAGTGTATAATCTCCCATCTCGTGTCCAACACTTGTGTATGTCTGGTGTTATGGGACTCATCACGCCAGGATCATGTGTAATAAAGACATTATAGAAGCGAAAAACTAATTTTCCTCGCTGAGATGCATGAAACTTACGAACACCCTGGGGTCACATGAACAGCCTGGGGTCACATGAATACCCAGGGGTCACACGAGCACCTAGGGGGTCATACGAACACCCAGGGGTCATACGAACACCCAGGGGTCATACGAACACCCAGGGGTCACACGAACACCCAGGGATCACACGAACACCCGGGGGTCACACGAACACCCCTGGGGTCACACGAACACCCTGGGGTCACACGAACACCCATGGGTCACATGAATACCCGGGGGTCACACGAAAACCCGGGGTCACACGAACACCCAGGGGTCACACGAACACCCGGGGGTCACACGAACACCCCTGGGGTCACACGAACACCCCTGGGGTCACACGAACACCCAGGGGTCACACGAACACCCAGGGGTCACACGAACACCCAGGGGTCACACGAACACCCTGGGGTCACACGAACACCCAGGGGTCACACGAACACCCAGGGGTCACACGAACACCCTGGGGTCACACGAACACCCAGGGGTCACACGAACACCCAGGGGTCACACGAACACCCCGGGGTCACACGAACACCCAGGGGTCACACGAACACCCAGGGGTCACACGAACACCCAGGGGTCACACGAACACCCGGGGGTCACACGAACACCCAGGAGCAGTAGTCTCGTTCAATCCTGGGTGCACATTTGTGCAAGCACATGCACATTCATAGTTTTGATCGTCGTCGCCCCTAAATCAACACAACAACACATTCATAGTCACTGATGTCTCATTCACGCACGAACACGCACACACCTTTACAAAGAAACACATACACCATTACAAACGTACACACACATACCACAACACATCCTCCGGAAATGAGTACTTGCAGTAACAATGTGTTTACACTTTTAATTTTATAAAGTCCGGAATAAAGTTAAAATCAAAACTCAAACTCAAAGCCTAGTATAGCACATATATGTGCTATACTAGGCTTTATTATATTATGCCTAATGTTATTATGCTCCTAGGCTAGGCTTATTATATTATGCCTAAGATAGCATGCTAGGAGAGGTTAAGTTAGCTTCTATGTTTACGTTGATGTTAAAAAAGTTATCGATTTGGCCAAATTTAATAAGATAAGTCAGGTTTATGGTGGTCCATCACTATATGTGTTATGGGCGCCCAAATGCTTGCCACAAGTCCTATCACTTATTATTTAGGAAGATGGGTTGTTATAAGCTCATCAGTACAAATATACCCACTCATAATTGTTGTGGATTCTTAAACTTAATATAGAATATAACGGTTTGATTAATATGTTTTCCTCATAGATCACTGTTATTTTTATATTTTTTTCTGAGAAATCATTTATGGTACATGCACAGTGGTTAAACATGTTGATCATAATGGAGAAATTCTCTGAAATTGACTGTTGTCGAATATATTTCCTGATATGTTTGACGTCACTATGAACACTGAGCATGACGTCAGCTTATGTGTAAGTTTTATATGTTATTTTTCAGTTATTTGCTAAGTAAGATCCACTTGCAAGATTTAGCTTTCCAAAAGTGAGGATAATTTGTTTAGAGATGATCTCAGAATGTTATAATTTGGGTTTATATAACGAGTGATCTGGGGAAGCTTGGCATTTAGAAGTGTATATAAATTTGTGAGCGCGGCTCAGTCTGGTCAGTCGAGGTGGAACTGTTGAGGCGGCGTCACGTCGTAAGATGAAGCTCTTATTGTTCTCTGTGCTGCTGCTTGTAGTAACTGTTAACACTCACCCGGGTAAGTCAAGTTCTTTCTTTATTATGCACCCCATACCCATCCCGGGGTCGGTGGTGGCAAGTCTTATCTAGTTCATGTGTCGTGGCGAATATTAGATAACCGCTTCTCAAACTATGGCAGTACATGTTATAATGTCAAAATGGCGGTGCATACTTCCATATCAGTGTCTATGAGAAAGTGAATTTTAGCTCTATGACCCGCTTGAACACTTTCCTATACCTGCTGCGTTATTATTTAACTATTCGGATGTTTTAATTCTTTGTCGAATCTGGCCTTGAAGTTGGAGGTGGGGGGGGGGCGGAGGTGGTTTCCATAACTTCCTTCTGAACATTCTACTTCCTAACTACTCAAACACGGTACGAGTACTGTATTTATTTGCATTTCTTTGACACAATTGCGTTTCAAGCTTTTACTATGTCCTCTCGTTCTGCTTTCTCAATTTAAAGAGGCAATTCTTGTCCATGTTGTCTATTCTCCTCTTATATCTTGTATGTTTGTGATCATATCTTCTGTTTCTTTTCCTTTCCAAGGTTGTGAGGTGTAATTTCCTCAACACTTTGTAAACCCTCTTAGTTTTCGCACCCACCATGTTGCAAACCATCGTATTTTCTCAATTTTGATTCTTTGCCTCAAAACGTATGTGTTTATTCACATATTTGGGCTTGAAGGACCGGACTACCTTTTATGGACTACGCCTTACTAACTTTCGTTTGTCTATTGTACTGATTCCTGACCTATTTTATCTATATATTTCTCTCTTTCTCTCTGTGAGAGTAAATGAATGAGTAGTGAGTATATGGAATGACCTAAAGGAGCAGACTGTAGAGGCTAACTCCATTCATAACTTTAAAAGCAGGTAAGATTGAGAAATAGGCCAGGATACATACAAGATTGTCAAAGTAATTGATAGGGTAGATAAAGACATATTATTAAACACAAGGAACACACGCACGCACTAGGGGGACACAGGTAGAAATGGAGTGCCCAAATGAGCCATAGAGACATTAGCAAGAATTTTTTTAGTGTCAGAGTAGTTGACAAATGGAATGCATTAGGCAGTGATGTGGTGGAGGCTGACTCCATACACAGTTTCAAGTGTAGATATGATAAGAGCCCAGTAGGCTCAGGAATCTATACACCAGTTGATTAAAAAAAGAAAAAAAAGTTGATTGACAGTTGAGAGGCTTTTCTAATACCTAGGTATCTATTTACTGCTCGGAGGCATTGGATAAAAGATACTTCCCATTTATTTCGGTGTATGAGAGAAAGTTTGTGTGAGAACTTTGTATACCGTGGAGTGTATGTTCTCAGGCCAAGAGGTGTGAAGTGCCCGGCGGAGGACCAGATGTGTAATATCTTCCCATCCATCAGCACTCAGAAGCCTCGCACTAGGCTTCCCTTAATGTGTCAGGGTTGCCACCATCCATCAGCACTCAGAAGCCTCGCACTAGGCTTCCCTTAATGTGCCAGGGTTGCCACCATCCATCAGCACTCAGAAACCTCGCACTAGGCTTCCCTTAATGTGTCAGGGTTGCCACCATCCATCAGCACTCAGAAGCCTCGCACTAGGCTTCCCTTAATGTGCCAGGGTTGCCACCATCCATCAGCACTCAGAAGCCTCGCACTAGGCTTCCCTTAATGTGCCAGGGTTGCCACCATCCATCAGCACTCAGAAGCCTCGCACTAGGCTTCCCTTAATGTGCCAGTGTTGCCACCATCCATCAGCACTCAGAAGCCTCGCACTAGGCTTCCCTTAATGTGCCAGGGTTGCCACCATCCATCAGCACTCAGAAGCCTCGCACTAGGCTTCCCTTAATGTGCCAGGGTTGCCACCAGCGCCGCCTGGTTTATTGTGCACCCCATACTCATCCCTGTCAGTAATAGCTCTAAAGAACTTGAGAGGTCATAAGAGGTCTTAATCACTGAATGTTTGACAGCTTCTCCACCTTATCTATACACCTTATAATTAGTTATTAATGCATCTGGTAAGAGAAGGTTCTTGCACTGTAGCTGCTGTGTATGATAATATTATACACGGTATCTTACTGTTAATAATAAGTCGTGTTGTTGGGGACAGGAAGCCTATGTATGTCTATACTTCAGGGTTGTGTCTACGTCCTACAAGGTCTAACTACTGCCTCCCCCTCCAGGATGCAACCCCACAATAGTTGGCCATTTCCCGGGTATATATATACTGTACTGCGTGGTGAACAGAGACATTAGGTGAAAGGAAACGTGCCCAAATATAATAATACACAAGACGGTGCCGTATTAACGCATGGGCACACTGGGCAGTTGGCCAGGAGCCCCAAGACTAGGGGCCCGCTCTCATGAACACTACTCTCTCATGCTGCCATATTGTTCATGAGACATCTTTTGCCAGAGTGGATAATTACTCGACCTGCCGTTGGACAGGCCTAGGAGTCAATTCCCATCTCAAATTATTCTTATAATATAAATAATTTGTGCAGAACTGTCTGAGGATAGACAGGCGATGAGGAGCCGGTCTCTCCAGGACGGACCGAAACGTCGTCGTCCCTTCACCTTCTAGTGTGTGGTCTGGTCAACTGTCTGAGGCCCATCATCTGGGTAGGGGGTCTCAATGCCTATCATCTGGGTACGAAGCCCCATTACCTGTCATCTGGGTAGGGGCCCCTATTGTCAATCATCCGGGTAGAGGACGGTAGCCATTATATGGGGTAGGGGGCCCCACTACCTGTAGGGAGCCCAATTGCATTAAAGGGTAATCTTGTCATCTCTCCATCTTGTGTCTGTTATACATAGGTTGTGCACATACAATTTGATCATAACAAAAATTGAAATAAATGAAATTCTTTCGCTGCAATATTGTAAAATTAATCATAAACGATATTTTTAATAGGCTTTGGTATTGAGTCAACATTCAATATTTATCAGATTTGGATTACATCTGTACTGTTATTATACCTGGTTTCTGAGAACGATAAGGCAGAGAGACGCTTATACTCTACAAATTCGTGATTGTATTTAGCATGATCTACGTCAATTTTTTTTTTATTAACGCATTTAGGTACATCTGCATTTGTGCAGCTGACTATATGATGGGGAGTAGTGTCGAAAAGCTAGCTACGTGATGCTCAAAATCCCCATCATACAGGATGGTTAATCATACAGGGCCACGTGATAAGTAGTCTGCACTGGTAAACTCTGGGTGTATTATGAGGATATCATCATGGACACGAGAGTGAATAAAGTAATTCCAAAGCTCCAGGTACCTCATGCCAACGGGTCTGAATGGTCTGATAACTGGACATTCGGTGATGTATTAGTGATCTACGCCAAGAACACTGTGAACATATTCATGGCTTCCTCAGCGAGAGTTAATGGGTGCCAGTTGTACGATGTTTGTTGGACACATGGGGCCGGAAACGTCACGTTTCCGGCGTTTTTTTTTTTTTTACTTCACATGGGTTCAGGAGCAGACGACTGCTGACTCCTGTTATCAGGCTAAGAGCCTTCCCTTCCCATAGTTCATGGTAACCTTACCCATTAGTTTCCATGGAATATGATTCACAAGTCGTTAACAACCAGGTAGCCATTCACTGCTGGGTGAACAGAGCCATACAGTTAAGGATTGACACCTAGTCAACCTTCCCCGGTCAGGATACGAATCAAGGCCAAATTGTCACTGTGTCTGTCTTTTCATGTGTCTCTTCCTCTCTCTGTTGAAGAGCTCTAGAAAAATTAACCACCATTTCGAACTTTACTGGAGTTGCTTGGGGTCGCAATGTACTTGCCGATGATGTCCTTTACCACCTAACAATCACCCTGCAAAGCTGGGCGAGGCAAGCTCTAAGCATCTGGCCTCCAACCTTGGAAAAACAAATAGACAAACATATATTCTATAGACATAGATAAGTCTATGCATATGTATAGTTTATTATGTTACAATGTACCTGTTATTATATTTATTGGTGTAGCATTTCGGCCGGCAGGTCCTTACCCTAAAGTGTTGATGGCTTTGGGAGAATGTAACTGTCACCAATGTATGTGCTTTTACAACCCAATGTCCCTTCTTGTATATAAATATACAAATTAATTAATATCTGTGAATTATACAGCTTACCTTGAGGTTACCTTGAGGTGCTTCCGGGGCTTAGCGTTCCCGCGGCCCGGTCGTCGACCAGGCCTCCTTGCCAAACGTATTAAATAAATACTTTAATGAGTGCGACCTCAAGTCAACATGGTGGTGTACACACAGGGTCGCCAGCGGTGTTCAAGGTATGGAACAGCTTTGACGGAGCTCCAGCAGTACCACCTCATAGTCCCATTGGAGCCAATGATCCTATCACCGAAGACCCAATGATAGCAGAGTATTACAACTACTTTGAGGATCCGTATGAAGACCTGTACCCACTGGACTACGGCTCTGGGTAAGGATGATTGGTATATCTTTTTCTCGATCGTCCGTTCTGTAGTAAGTCTCACATACCTCTCTATCATTTTCAGTACATTATTAAAGAAATCTGATTATGATAAAAGAATGATATAATTAATGTCTATAAATTAAGAGCAGAATGTTGTTCTTTTAACTTTGTGAAAAATATTTGCATGTTTAAATACATTAGTGTGTGTTATGATTGTTTAAAGTGTTTACGTACCTTTAACTTTACAGTGATTACACCTTGGGAACACCTGACGACGACGACGACGATACACAGTCCTTCAAAAACATGGGTGAGTAGTGTAGCAGGAGCTGTTGTGGCTCATTGGGTTATCTGGAAGATAGTGAAGTAGGACAAGTAACACAAGTTATAAGACCCCAGGCTTTTTCTGTCGGGACTTCTGGTGCTTTCTTGGTAACCTAAATTTTGCTTGGATGGTGTTCCCAGTTTATCAGATGGTCTCTTTGAGCCTTTTGGAAGATTTTGATTAATTATTTTCCTCTTCTGGCTTTTCAGCGTTTGTTCCTCTGGCGTCTTCCTCTTGCCTTAGTAGAGCTGGTCACTGACGTGTCTGGTCTCAACTGGGCGTTTCTCTCCAGCTCTTACCCCCATCTAATGGGTTGTGTGGTCCTCTCGGTTGTGTGGTGATGCATCAAATGAACAAATCCAAAGGGATTTGCGGATAATAATAACAATTTATTGATATAAAAATATTGCATGTCTTTGTCGTATAACAGAATTTTCCCATATTATAAAAGGACAAACAGTCATGTTTGCCCGAAACGCTTTGCATAATAGTGGCTTTAGGCATTGTATGTACCAGCTCTATCTATAAACCTAGCCATTTTTGTAAAAATCTCTTGTATGTATGTACCTTACCTGAATAAACATTTATATTTATTTATAGTTATATATTTTTCGCTTTAATTCCCACAGAGATTTACCTGCGCCAGGAACAGGACTTCATGTTGTTGAAGCGACTAATGGGTTATCTTCTCAACACTAACAGAAACGGTATTCCCTCTTTCGTCTACAATGACTTAAACTACCCAGAATCATCTGAAGGCAATTCTGATGACACATTGTCTCTAGAAGACCGGCCAATCTTCTTCAACTTCCTAAAATTTGCGGTTGGTGGCAGTGGTGTGTTGTGTAGGAAGATGTGAAAAGAAATACCTGTAGATGTAATGAGTAAAATAAGACGGTGGAGAAAAGAGGGAGCAGAAGTTGTAAAGATAAAACAGAAGATATAGAGCATAAAAGAAGGTAGAAAGAGAGAATAAGGTAAAAAGAGGATGAGGAAACAGGATGGAGAGATAGAGATGATACAGATATATAAAGATAAAAAAAGAAAGAAAAAAGGAGGGAAAAACAAGATACGGAAGGGGTGGGAAGAGAGAAAAGATGAGGGGGAAAGAGACTGATGGTGAGTGAGTGAGGGTGAGGAAAAATGACAGGATGAGGTGGGAGAGAAAAGTACCTCAAACAATAGACCCCCCAAAAAAGAGATGCATTATGTCCCTTCAGTACTGTAGAGTTCAGGCTCTCAGCATTGACACAGATTTACATAACATGTTAGTATACAAGGTGTAGCTAATTGGTTGTGTTGATCCGCAGGTAACACCCAACATACCTAACGTGGACGACCTCCCAGACAACTACTACAACTCCACCCACAATGTCCATGTGGTCAACGGCACTCGTGTAGAGGTCAACACCACCACTAACAAGGAGTCTGAAGATGGCTTCAAGTCCTTCTTCCACCATGAGGTTGGTGATCTTCCAGGTATTAGTAGGCATCCATCAGTCTCAGGAGACTATGGAGTTGCGCTCTGGCTGTCGGTCTGGAGTGGCCTCACCAGGGCGCAAAGCCAGGGTAGGTTGATTCGGGGGAGAAGCTGTTACCCAGGCAGCAGGTGTCCCCTCTCCACGGCGCTGAAAGTCTGAAAGTCTTCCAGGTACCGTTAGTGTAAAAGTTCCCCTTAATTAATATAAATTTGCCTTAATACTCATACTGCTCCAATAATCATGCGCAATTCTTTTTCATTTCATTTGTTAACTCATCCTAGACAGGTGCACCTCGATGTAGAACTCTTTATTTGTTCTGGGCTCCCATTACTTTACCATAATATCAGTTTAGACAATCAGAAAAGCAAAAGCAAAGTGAGTACTGTACTGTAATTGATACAAATATAAGGTCAAGAAAACGTTTAGTTGTGTGTACAGTACTTTATATTTCAAATTATAATAATAATAATAATAATTATAATATAATACAGTAATACTAATATATTATTTATACAAGTGTACATACATATGATACATGAACTGTGGAGGATACATAAGCAAGTACTGTACAATGCATAAAGCCAATAATACACCCAGACTATTTCCCACATATTAATACACAAACTATTTCCCACATAATGTAAAACAAAAAGTAGGGAAAAGACATACAAACTTAATAGGGCAATTTTGGAGAGAATGTTTACTGTTTTAGAATTTTTTTATATTTTGTTTATGGCAATGAAAATTCCTCTTGTTATCAATGGGAACACCACAGAATTTCCTATTTGCTCTGTTCTTACTTTTCGTAATTTTGATCAGTGATAAAGAAGAGCTTTGTTAGCAGTTAACCAAAGATGGACATTTTTTTTTTAAGTTCACTGTTGAGTGTGTCATTTAGAATAAGTGGTTTAGCATGGGAGAAAATGAAGGTTGTATTATCAGTAAATAGAATTGTAAAGTCATTGATTTAACTGAGAAAGTGAACTGGACCAAGAATATTACCCTGTAGAATGCCAATGTTAACTGGCAGGGTGGGAGTGTCTTCTGACTATAGTATTACAGAAATAGGGTATTGTGCTAAAGTGTCAAAAACCTTACACAGGTTAACAAATAAACCAACAGGGTACTAATTTTTTCAAAAGCTGCATGTGCACTTTTTTCAAAAGCTGCATGTGCACTTTTTTCAAAAGCTGCATGTGCAATATAAAGTCGAGCATATTAATGAGTGTCATTAGGCAAATTGGTGCTTTTATAAGGTCTATATTCCCAGAAGATCTAGGAATATAGGTGTCTTATTCAAGCTTTTCTTTGATTCTAATACTTAGAAAATAGGGTTCCATTTTTCATGTTACCCTATTTTATTAAATTTATTTTCATACAGTGGAACAGTAGCTTATTTTGACTCTTATTAAATAACACTGAATAGTGTTATTCACTATTAGACTGAATTGTCTAATAGTGAATAACACTATTAGACAATTCTTTGTAAATGGCCCCTATTTTATACTTTTTCTAATATTCATGCCTTTTATTGATAGATATAAGTATACCCTTAGTAAGCCATGAGTTGTTCATCCTTTAGGCTGTGACTTTTTTCCTGGCATTGAACAGTGAGCATTATAAAGGTTCAGAGTTTTGTGAGGAAATGTTTTCACTGAATCATCAGGCTACTTTTAGAACCCTAATCTGTTAAAAATTAAGTCCAAAGGCTATAACATACTATTGTCACACAGCACATGAAGAGACGTTGAGTTTATGAGAGTACGTAGCATTGATGTTTCTACATTCTTGCAAAGCCACTAACACGCATTGCATTTCGGGCAGGTTCATAATCTAACAGATACTTTTAAGTAGGTAATTTGTAGCAAAATTTGAAGAATATTAATAGGTACATTGCAGTAAAATTTGAGGATTATCACCAGGTATATTGTAGTAAAATTTGGGGATTATTAATAGGTACATAGTAGCAAAATTTGCATTCAGCATAACTACATATACTATAAGTTGATACCAGTGATTACATTGGTGAAGTTGCATGGCTTGGGCACATATATTGGGGAGTGGGTAGCACAAGATACAGTGCGAGTTTGAAGCATTAGGTAGGAAACTGAGGCTGAAAATAGTTGTATTCACTTGTAATAATGTATTCAGTAATAATGTATTCACCTTATGTCACTGCTTTTTTTTCTGTATGCAGGAATTCACCTAAAACTTTGTTATCTTTTCCCCACTTGTATTTTCTTGATGTAGCCTAATTTGTGTCTTTCATACCCCCTCAGGTGATTGCCATCCACCCAGAAGATGACCAGTACAATGTCACAACCTCACAGGTAAGTAGGTCTATAATTACACTGATAATCAGTGTCATAGGTAGTTTTCCTTCTATGTAATGTTTGGTACCATAGGTAGGGCTTCCCGCCTGGTAATATTTGATATAAGAGGTAGCCATTAATTGTCTGGTATGTACCTAGTATGTTATGACTGGTATATAAATCATCCCAGTCAAGTTAGCTACCGGTCAAGTATACCAGGTAAGTCAACTCGCGTATCAGGAACACTTGAGGTCCTCAGGGTTAACAGTACCGCAAACCAGGCATGACCGGGCGGATCTCATCGAAACTTTTAAAATACTAAACAATTTGGAGGATGTCGAACAGGAGAATTCCTTCTAAAGGTCAGATGTAACACAAACAAGGAGCAACAGTTTCAACTCAACAAGCCACAATGCAGGACTGAAAACAGGAGATGCTTTTTCACCCTCAGTGTTATCAGCCATAGAACCGCCTACCCTTCGAAGCCGTAAATGCCAAAACTTTATTTTTGTTTAATCTAGCTGGAAAAGATCCTCCAGGGCAAATGGGAGGACTTGTGGCCTTCCACTGTTCCTGGTATGAGAGTTGACTTCTGGAATGATTTTTGTTGTATCAATGATTTACAAAGCGATGTAAACAATTTTGTTTCTGTGAACAGACTGAGAATCGCGGAGAGAAGAAGCCAGCGAAAGATGAGGAGCTGCCAACACTGCCCGAGGTGGAGAATGAGTCTGGCTCCCCAAGTTTAGCACGCCATTTTGTTCCGCTAGATGAGACTGAAACTAGCACCCAAGGAGACGTTTACCCCTCTATACTGCCAGTAGATGGCGAGGTGGTCACCACTGAGGTCAGTAACATCTCCCTATAACTGGGTCTCGTCAACCTTGATCCAACATCACTTAAGCTTCTTGCTGCTGGTGCTGTTGCTACGGCTGTGACCACAACCTTCTCTTCAGCTACTCTAAACAAAGCTGTTCCAAAGGTTTGCTTTCAACATGAATCACTTCAATGGCTGTTATAGCCATTTATCATTGTTTTAACAAGTCATGTATTTAGACATTATATCTACACAACATGATTTGTATATACTGTAGTGGGACATGCTTCACAATATAGCATTAGGATGATGCATGTTATGTAGTGGTACAAATTTAATGAATAAACAGTACAGCTTTTATTATCTATTTTTATATATGGATTTATGTATATCTGTTGGCTGTGAATTATTTCATGCAAGTATCATTCGAAATAAAGAAAGAATATATAAAGAGAAAACTCATGTGCCTCATTAAAGTAGAAGTCATCATAATTTTACTTAACCCTTACTTTGCTCCAAGCATCACATGCAATTTTTTTCCCATTTGATTTGTTAACTGTTTTCAGACATGTGCTCTTCAGTGTATTACTTGTTTATACCTGTGCTGTTTAGGGATTAAGAAGATAATGGTGCAACATACTAGCTCAAGATGGTAACATATTGACAGTGGGAGTATGCTACAGGGCTGACACAGCAGCGGCAGAGGAAGTTGGTGATATCAATGCAGCATCAGAAACCCAAAGCCTTATAATGGGAGACTGTAACCACGAGCCCACAGTCTGGGTAAATTTAACATCACAAGCAGAGGAGAACAATTTCTTGACCTGGTACAAGATGCATTTTCTTCATGAGCTAGCAAGCTCTCAACATAACTACACCATTGTAGCAACGTTATTATGTAACAACACAAATTATGTATTGTGTGTTTGCTGGGGATATGTTGGAGTAGCTGTTGCGCTTGTGCCATCTGTTTTGAAGACTTGGGAGTGACAACAGAGGAGTACCATCCTTGAGGCAATCTTGTTTAATCTACAGATATTCCTTACGAAATGCACAGCTTGCCTTCTATTCCTATTATACACCAATTTTTAAGACCTTGGCCAAATGCTGTGTTATGCAACGCTTTAGCTTGGAAAATAAATATGATTTATTCATAGGTTATTAATAATAATGCATAATAATCTTTCATTTATAGAAAAAAAAATAGTTTTAAAATTTTATCTGAATGTCAGTCATGTTCAGCCATCGTGATATCCTGTTTTGTTAAATTCGTACATATAAGAAATTCTAATTGTTAATCATTTGTATATGACATTGATGTGAAAATAGAGAATATTAATAGAGCAATAACCCATACCTGTGAGGCAGGACATGTGAATATAGAGAATATTAATAGAGCAATAACCCATACCTGTGAGGCAGGACATGTGAATATAGAGAATATTAATAGAGCTATAACCCATACCTGTGAGGCAGGACATGTGAATATAGAGAATATTAATAGAGCAATAACCCATACCTGTGAGGCAGGACATGGATACCAAGAGAGTAGTGAGAGTACCTCGCAGGGCTGACGATGATGCTGAGGAAGTAGAGGTGGACGATGACCAACAGCCCCCTCCAGACCTCAGTAAGGACACACGGGTTAATCACTTGAACAAGGACCACCAGGGACTTGTCAAGGTCGACCCAAATGCCGAGATCTTCAATCTAACCCTCGTCTTAGAAGAGGACAGGAAGAATGCTGATGATAAATAGACTTTGCAGCAAACAATGTTATTTTGACAAATATTACGCAATAACGTTAACAATGTTGTGGTGCATTTTGGTACATTGTTTGTTGGAAGCCAACTTTTATGTTCAGGAAATTTACAGTAAAGTTTGCACATTGGAGACCATAGTTGCCTTAGTTTTGGTTCATTAATAGATGGGATTTTGAAATCTTTTCTTTATTTATATATATTCAGGAGTTCTTACATGCTTGTGAAGCCACTAGCACGCATAGCTTTTTGGGCAGGTAATCCTAATCCTAAATTGCCTTAATCCTAAATTTCCCCGGAATACGATTCGCCAAAATCTTTTAACAACCAGGGACTCGTTCACTGCTGGATGAACAGAGGCTACAGTTAAGGATTGGCACGCGGTTAATCCTCCCCGACCAGCTCTCACAGCTAGTGTGAAGGTGGGTGGAGGGGGGGCGTGAAGAAGTTCTGAACATACAAGGGACAAAGGAATTGTGAAATGTATAGTAAAGGAAAATAGATGTAGCTTTGATTTCCAGGAAAAAGAAGGTAGTTATGCAACTGTATAACTCTCTGGTGCAAAATTCAGATAGCTAGAAAAGTTAGTCTTGGCAAGCTAGTTACACGGTTTAACACACCCGGGAGTGGCAAAGATGAGGCTTCTTAAAGTGGGGTAATTGGGCTGACCCCAACCTGCCCATGACAATCCCCTGTCACCCATCAGTCACCCTGCCACGGTGGGTGAGGCTAGCCCCAAGCATCTGGCCTACAACCTTGGACAAACTGACATTATATTATATAAATTATATATATAGATAATAAGCTCAGGATGAAGCCTCAAATTTCGTCGCCACGTCGAATCAACCCAATGGTTCCCAGGATATATTTTTCTCTGGCTTCAATACACAGTATCTACCATTGTTAATAATTGTTTGTAATTTATTTAACCTAATTTCCATGCTTAAAATTATACGTTTCTGGTTAAATAATTATCATTTAATTCCAGACGTAACTTTATTAATTAAATATATTGGTGTGTTTAAGCAGTTGGTTCTTCGCCCTCATATAAAAGTTTGGTTTTAACGATTCAATGATTGTTTTATATACATATACATTGTTTTATATACATATACATACTTATCGCTGTCCGGAGGATTTGGACGCTTCAGTCAGGTAAGATATTTTTTATGGTTCGGAAATATTTATTTATCTATTACTGTTACAGTAATTGTTGGCAACAATTATCTATCTGTAATTAGTTAACAGTAGTCTGTTTGAATTTGCATACAAACCCCTTTCTAAGAAATATGATTAAATTTTCTAGTTATTTTAATTAAGTACGCAAATTAGTTTTGTTTAGTTATGTGAATAAAGCAATTACTTGTGTGAGTCTATTAATACATATGCGTAGATGAATATAGCGTTAATGGAACCGTTACAGTCAGCTGGAGTGGACACATTCAATAGGTGCGACGTTGCCAAGTGTCCTGCTCAGGGGACACATTCTGCCAACATTTTCAGACCTATATCAATTCTGCCAACCATGTTAAAAATATTTGAAAAGCTGATCTACAAGCAACTTTACTCTTATCTAACCAAACACAATATGCTTAGCTCTTGTCAATATGGCTTCATACCCCAAAAAAAGCATTAACGATGCACTGATTAGTATGATTAACTTGATACATACAGCTCTTGATAAAAATGAGTTTCCTGTTGGGTTATTTGTTGACCTACGCAAGGTTTTTAACACTGTCAACCACCAAAACCTTAAATTACGTCATATGGAGTCGGAGGTCACTCCCTCCAATACCTTCAGACTTTCAGTCTTACCTTAGTGACAGGCTCCAGTATGTTTCTGTGAATGATTCCATTTCTCCCACCCTAGCCATCAACATTGGTGTTCCTCAGGGCAGCATACTTGGCCCTCTCCTCTTCCTCATCTACATCAATGACCTTCCAAATGCCTCTCAACACCTCAACCCAATTTTATTTGCTGATGACACAACCTTCATTTTCTCCAGTCCTAACCCTCTTACTCTGAATGATACAGTGAATACTAAACTAAATATAGTTCATCTTTGGCTAACTGCTAACAAACTCACCCTTAGTATTCTTTCTAAGATCAGATATTATGTACCTCGCCCTGCCCTGGTGACGCTCTATTACTCTCTCATCTATCCTTATCTCAACTATGGTATTTGTTCGTGGGGTTCTACCACCCAAAATCATCAACGTTATCTAATTACTCAACACAAATCTGCTATTAGAATAATATCAAACTAGCCCCAGAAAAATCAAGATATAAAATTAAAAATATTCGAATACAACAACAAAACCACGATTTAATTTTGCCAATTATTATTCATAAATTTCATTGTAGAAGTGCCAGTGATACATGTGACTGTGTACTGGTATTGTAGAAGTGACAGTGATACATGTGACTGTGTACTGGTATTGTAGAAGTGACAGTGATACATGTGACTGTGTACTGGTATTGTAGAAGTGCCAGTGGTACATGTGACTGTGTACTGGTATTGTAGAAGTGTCAGTGGTATATGTGACTGTGTACTGGTATTGTTGAAGTGCCAGTGGTACATGTGACTGTGTACTGGTATTGTAGAAGTGCCAGTGATACATGTGACTGTGTACTGGTATTGTTGAAGTGCCAGTGGTACATGTGACTGTGTACTGGTATTGTAGAAGTGCCAGTGATACATGTGACTGTGTACTGGTATTGTAGAAGTGCCAGAGGTACATGTGACTGTGTACTGGTAACGACCAGCTCAATTATGGCGGAGGTGACGAGGACAGTCAGGTTGCTACGCCTTAACCAGTCATTGGGACGTGTTGTTGACACGTGGTTGTGTATTGTGAGGTGGTTCTTGGGATATTTTAAACTCCCATCATAATGCGTTAGAAAATAAACCGAAGCTGTGATAAAGATTCGAGCTGGTCCTTGGCGGCTCCAATGGAGAAACAATAGCTAAGTCAAGTATGAACATTGTGTAACAAATCTATTGCTTCATTAACGATTTTGCGAGAGGATCGTTAAAAATTATGAGAGACCAGAATAAAGCATTTTGTAAATACTGTAAATGTGAAGTACGAGGAAATATTACACATATTAGGCTATATTACACAAATAGGCTATAAAACAAACACATTAAAATATGGATTTAATACATAAAGACTCCAAAAACTGACCAACTGTTTATCAATATAATTCTTATTTTTATGATAAATTGTAAATTTGGTACTGTTCAGTAAAATTTTATACTTTATAGTTAATATTTTTGGTTCATTATTTAAAATACTTTTGGCAAGGGAGTCAGTTGTATCAGAGCCACGGAGGGAGGCGGTCGTGCTGGCTCGCCTCTCCGCTTGTTCTAAGGTAACTAAGTGTCCATGTTTGCTGTTGAACAGTCCTCCAGGTATCGATAAAGTATATTAGTGTTATCTTGATGTGTAAGTCAATTGTCTTTGGAATAGAATTTATTTATATAACTAGCGATAGGGAATATTCCCATAGCTAACAGTTAATAGTTTTGCTTCAAATAACAGCGTATGTTGACCTGACGGCATTTATGGTGGAATTTATATTGATAACTGGTAGAAATGAAACTTTAAAATTAACAATTAAACTAATTATATGATAAATTAGTTTTAGTTTAATATAATTAAACTAATATTATTAGTTTAATTGTTAATTTTAAAGTTTCATTACTACCAGTTAGTGCAGAATTGCAACAATATATAACCTTTCACCTTATTGTTCCCCAAAGTCTTGGAGAAAAAAAAAGGCTTACCAATGTCCCTCTAGCAGTATAAGCCAACTTCTCACCCTCCCCAGGATGCATCCCACAATAGCTGCCTAACTCCTGGGCCCCATCTATTTACTGCTAGGTGAACAGAGGCATCAGGTAAAGTAAAGAGCCTTTACTTCCAAAACTCGTACCGTGGATCCTGGGTTAACATGAGCCGACGACGCCTACTCTGCTAAACCACCCGTAAATCATTCTGATTTTACTGTATAAAGATTTCAGTAGCTGAATGTTGAGTGGAGAGATGTGTTGAGGGTCGCGGCACAGCTTCAGCAGCTGAAGGTTGAGTGGAGAGATGTGTTGAGGGTCGCGGCACAGCTTCAGCAGCTGAAGGTTGAGTGGAGAGATGTGTTGAGGGTCGCGGCACAGCTTCAGTAGCTGAAGGTTGAGTGGAGAGATGTGTTGAGGGTCGCGGCACAGCTTCAGCAGCTGAAGGTTGAGTGGAGAGATGTGTTGAGGGTCGCGGCACAGCTTCAGCAGCTGAAGGTTGAGTGGAGAGATGTGTTGAGGGTCGCGGCACAGCTTCAGCAGCTGAAGGTTGAGTGGAGAGATGTGTTGAGGGTCGCGGCACAGCTTCAGCAGCTGAAGGTTGAGTGGAGAGATGTGTTGAGGGTCGCGGCACAGCTTCAGCAGCTGAAGGTTGAGTGGAGAGATGTGTTGAGGGTCGCGGCACAGCTTCAGCAGCTGAAGGTTGAGTGGAGAGATGTGTTGAGGGTCGCGGCACAGCTTCAGCAGCTGAAGGTTGAGTGGAGAGATGTGTTGAGGGTCGCGGCACAGCTTCAGCAGCTGAAGGTTGGGTGGAGAGATGTGTTGAGGGTCGCGGCACAGCTTCAGCAGCTGAAGGTTGAGTGGAGAGATGTGTTGAGGGTCGCGGCACAGCTTCAGCAGCTGAAGGTTGAGTGGAGAGATGTGTTGAGGGTCGCGGCACAGCTTCAGTAGCTGAAGGTTGAGTGGAGAGATGTGTTGAGGGTCGCGGCACAGCTTCAGTAGCTGAAGGTTGAGTGGAGAGATGTGTTGAGGGTCGCGGCACAGCTTCAGTAGCTGAAGGTTGAGTGGAGAGATGTGTTGAGGGTCGCGGCACAGCTTCAGTAGCTGAAGGTTGAGTGGAGAGATGTGTTGAGGGTCGCGGCACAGCTTCAGCAGCTGAAGGTTGAGTGGAGAGATGTGTTGAGGGTCGCGGCACAGCTTCAGCAGCTGAAGGTTGGGTGGAGAGATGTGTTGAGGGTCGCGGCACAGCTTCAGCAGCTGCATAAATCAGTCAAAAAAGTTGTCAACGTCTTGGGTATGTCAACTACGCTTTGTTTCTTTTAAGTTTTTGTGTTCACTCTAGGAGAGGTCTCTTCTTCCTTCTGCGTTTTCCGCCACGCTTTCTGGTGTTGACTTTCCTGCTCCTCGAGTGCACTTCTTCCGAACTGACTTGCGTTATCTGTTGACATTACAATTGTTAATGTGACTTGTCAACTCATTATCAAATGTAAAAAATCAACTTTTAACAAAAGGCAAACAGGCAACAATAATATATTCGTTCTCAAGTATATTTTTCATAACTATTATATTTCAGTATAAGAGCTGGGCAAAAAATATATATTTGCAAAATATTTAACCCATCAGTTGTTTTCTGGGTTCCACACCACCACTGGGAGGAAAATGATTGTACTGACAATTACAATCCCACAAAAGTGTGAGGATAATTCTTTGTCACTGAGTCATCCGTTTTGTAGTGTTATCATAAATCACATATATGATACCAACCATTATTTTTTTTGTGTGGGAGATCCACCTGTGTTACCTATATGTATGGTTGTGGTATGGTGACCTACATGTGTGGTTGTGGTGTGGAAACCGACTGTATGGTTGTGATGTGGAGACCGACTGTATGGTTGTGGTGTGGAGACAGACTGTATGTTGTGGTGTGGAGACAGACTGTATGGTTGTGGTGTGGAGACTGACTGTATGATGTGGTGTGGAGACCGACTGTATGGTTGTGGTGTAGAGACAGACTGTATGGTTGTGGTATGGAGACTGACTCTATAGTGGTGGTGTGGAGACTGACTGTACGGTTGTGGTGTGGAGACAGACTGTATGGTTGTGGTGTGGAGACTGACTGTATGGTTTAATTTTTTTATTATACGATAAATACGTTATGCCGAGATACTAATGTTACTAACCCCTAGCATTATCACCTAGCATCACCACCTAGCCTAACGCTAGAATGCGTTATGCCAATAATTGTTTCACCAATTCCTAGCACAGCAAGAAAATACGTTGTGTTAGAAAATGAAAATTACTGAAAATATTCGCATCCAGGAATACGCCAAAAATTTCATACTGTCGGGATTTGCTACTGTCGATGGCGGACGGTTGCGTCAGTCAGCCGGCAACATGTGTTGACCAATCTTATATAACCTTCATTAAACTTAAGCTGCATGTTTATTCTATTAACATTTGATATTTCAGTTAGGAATAGATTAGAATTACGAAGAATAAGGGCGTATTTTCATCTCCTAGTAAATGGTTTGCCTACGTGAAATAATAGTCGGAAATAAAGTCACGTTACGTAAATCACACAAACTCTGTGATCCAGTGTTAAGAACAAAGGACATTGTTCTCTGGATATTATAGTAAATTATTGGTGTGAAAATTGACGTTAACTTAATCTAGTCATTGAATAAGTTAAAGTAAAGAGAGTGACTTATTTACTGGCACGCACCGCGGAGCTCAAAGTAGTGGCAAGAGATCCCCACACGTGAGCACGCGACAACACGCTCTCCATCTGATCCCACCAGAGCCAGCCGTTATCATCGTCCAATATTGGGAACATCCGTCCCCATAGACCTCCCAGACGTTGATGCTAGCTCCACACATCACTACACAGTGTATCCGGTTGGTATACAACTCTATATTAGGCAAAGGTGGCCACATAACCTGGATAGGAGATTAACCAACCGGTTATGCTCTAGGGGATCTAAAATAACAGTGTAGGTTAAACTGCAGGGTTATTTCTTTAATGGAACTTTATCAGGGAAATGTTAGTGCTACATGAGCTATAGTGTATTAATTCCACTGAGTGGTGATCAACAACTGGGTCCAGCCGTCTTGGGTTTACAAGTTCAAGTATGTTTATTGAGACAAGAAAAAATACATCTCAAAGGGATAGAGTAGCTTAGGCTATTTTCGGGTTTACAGGTTTCAAGTGGACGCGAGGCTTCCTCCCACGAGGCGATGATATACACCATTCACGAGAGCTTCGTCTGATGTCCCTTACCTAAATCAGCTTTACAGCTAAGATTCCTGTTTCCATTTAACTTACGTAGTTAGATCATTAACCCTATGACTATTATTGATTAGTTATTGTTGAGGTTAGAAAACACTTAATATTATTAACAGGTGGATTCAGCATTATAGGATTAACCCCCCATTCTTGTGTGCATAGGAAGGTTACAAATGAATATTAATTAAACATATAGTCCACTTTAACACAGTCCACTTTAACATACAGTCCGCTTTAACATACAGTCCGCTTAACTTCAAATAACTCAAATAAACAAATCAAATCCTGGGAATTTCCCAAAGTTGTGGTGTAGAGACCGATTGTATGGTTGTGGTATAGAGACCAACTGTATGGTTGTTGTGTGGAGACCGACTATATAGTTGTGGTGTGGAGACCGACTGTATGGTTGTGGTGTGGAGACCTACCTATATGGTTGTGGTGTGGAGACTTACCTGTATGGTTGTGGTGTGGAGACTTACCTGTATGGTTGTGGTGTGGAGACCTACCTGTATGGTTGTTGTGTGGAGACCTACCTATATGGTTGTGGTGTGGAGACTTACCTGTATGGTTGTGGTGTGGAGACTTACCTGTATGGTTGTGGTGTGGAGACCTACCTGTATGGTTGTGGTGTGGAGACCTACCTGTATGGTTGTGGTGTGGAGACCTACCTGTATGGTTGTGGTGTGGAGACCTACCTGTATGGTTGTGGTGTGGAGACCTACCTGTATGGTTGTGGTGTGGAGACCTACCTGTATGGTTGTGGTGTGGAGACCTACCTGTATGGTTGTGGTGTGGAGACCTACCTGTATGGTTGTGGTGTGGAGACCTACCTGTATGGTTGTGGTGTGGAGACCTACCTGTATGGTTGTGATGTGGAGACCTACCTGTATGGTTGTGGTGTGGAGACCTACCTGTATGGTTGTGGTGTGGAGACCGACTGTATGGTTGTGGTGTGGAGACCTACCTGTATGGTTGTGGTGTGGAGACCTACCTGTATGGTTGTGGTGTGGAGACCTACCTGTATGGTTGTGGTGTGGAGACCTACCTGTATGGTTGTGGTGTGGAGACCTACCTGTATGGTTGTGGTGTGGAGACCGACTGTATGGTTGTGGTGTGGAGACCTACCTGTATGGTTGTGGTGTGGAGACCTACCTGTATGGTTGTGGTGTGGAGACCTACCTGTATGGTTGTGGTGTGGAGACCTACCTGTATGGTTGTGGTGTGGAGACCTACCTGTATGGTTGTGGTGTGGAGACCTACCTGTATGGTTGTGGTGTGAAGACCTACCTGTATGGTTGTGGTGTTTTGCATTGGACCTTTAGGCTGGATTTCGATCACCTGAGGGCAGAAACAAAACTTAGTTAAGACAACACCAAGAAGGCGCAATTGGGAAACGAGAACACTGTCAGGTATCTGGTCGAACATATAACAAGCACAATTGAACTTATAAACCTACTGTTGCCGTTGGAACATGGTGCATAATACAGTACTTGTGCACAGTTCGTACAGGTGCTGCACAAGATTCTGCACCAAGATAGCAGGAGCAAGTAGTATTGGTCCTACTATCTTAACAACGCCCCGTTAGGTATTAAGACTTATTGAGGTGCGTTTTCGTATCAATAAGCATGTGACCATGATTGAAAGTACAATCTCCCACTAAGTGCAAATAACAACTATTACTGTTGAACGACTTGAATAATGCAGACGAGGAGTCACAATAACGTGGCTGAAATATGTTGGCCAAACCACACACTAGAAAGTGAAGAGACGACGACGTTTCGGTCCGTCCTGGACCATTCTCAAGTCGATTGTGAATGGTCCAGGACGGACCGAAACGTCGTCTCTTCACTTCCTAGTGTGTAGTTTGGTCAACTTGAATGATGCCAATGTTGTCAATATTGTCCGTTACTTTGCCCCGAGACCAGAGACCAGAAATGGAAACAAGCGAGCAGCTGGTTTGAGTCCTGGCACTATATCAAGTATGCTCCTCTCCTCAATCTCTTCTGTCTTTGCTCAAACGGATAACCTTGTATTTGTGTGCTTTACCTGACCTGCGTTGGTCCGTACATCGCTGGCAAACGGGTATACTGTATATGGTTTAGCAAGACATACCTAAAACTTTCCTGACGATATTAAAACAACAATATGTACTGCAGAAGCACCAATACAAGGATTTTCTATTTGGAACAAGGACTGAAGTCTGAAATCCATCAGTCCACCCACCACCACTTCCGCTGAGTGATACAATCCGGCCATGGTTATCTTGAGACGATTTCGGGGCTTTTTATTGTCCCCGCGGCCCGGTCCTCGACCAGGCCTCCAAACATTTGCCAAACATGGTGGCAACATTTCCACTACAACAGCCGCGAGTGAACCATCCATGGGCTGAGACAAAGAGGGGACCAACAGCAACACCTGCTGAAGGAGGCGACGGTCACTCACCTTGGTCTGGACGAGAGTATCCTTGCCATCTATAGTTTCCTTGGTGGTGGTGGTGTTTACCGCGACGCGAGCGCCGTTCACATCATGGACCTCGTGGCTATCCTTGTCTCCATCTGCACTATCAGAGTCTTTCGCGGTCAGAGAGTCAAGGTTATCAATGATGTCTTTCAGGTCATCAAAGTCACTGTCATCCATGGTGTCTGTCTTATCATCAGAGACAGTGTCATCGATGGTGGTGTCTGTCTTATCATCAGAGACAATGTCATCCATGGTGTCTGTCTTATCATCAGAGACAATGTCATCCATGCTGTCTGTCTTATCATCAGAGACAATGTCATCCATGGTGTCTGTCTTATCATCAGAGACAATGTCATCGATGGTGGTGTCTGTCTTATCATCAGAGACAATGTCATCGATGGTGATGTCTGTCTTATCATCAGAGACATTGTCATCCATGGTGTCTGTCTTATCATCAGAGACAATGTCATCCATGCTGTCTGTCTTATCATCAGAGACAATGTCATCCATGGCATCTGTCTTATCATCAGAGACAATGTCATCCATGGCATCTGTCTTATCATCAGAGACAATGTCATCCATGGTGTCTGTCTTATCATCAGAGACAATGTCATCCATGGTGTCTGTCTTATCATCAGAGACAGTGTCATCGATGGTGTCTGTCTTATCATCAGAGACAATGTCATCAATGGTGTCTGTCTTATCATCAGAGACAATGTCATCAATGGTGTCTGTCTTATCATCAGAGACAGTGTCATCGATGGTGGTGTCTGTCTTATCATCAGAGACAGTGTCATCCATGGCATCTGTCTTATCATCAGAGACAATGTCATCAATGGTGTCTGTCTTATCATCAGAGACAATGTCATCAATGGTGTCTGTCTTATCATCAGAGACAATGTCATCCATGGCATCTGTCTTATCATCAGAGACAATGTCATCAATGGTGTCTGTCTTATCATCAGAGACAATGTCATCCATGGTGTCTGTCTTATCATCAGAGTCATTGTCATCGATGGGTTCGTCGTTGTTGGCTGTGTCGGCGCCGAAGTCTGGGGAGGACCAGGGCGGGGTGTTGGGGGAATCATCCTTGCCAGCGAAGGGAAGCATACCCAGGAAACTGTGCACCAACACCAAGTCATTTTTCAGGCGGTGGTTCTCCTCTGGGACCAGGAAGAGATTATATAATATCATGAGTAAATTGGTTATAAGATCAATGATTAGAACATAATTTAGGAACATGGATTCTACAATACTGTTACTGTAGGTGCTGTAGTGTTAATACCAGGGATTTTACGATATAAATACCATGAATTCTACAATATTGTAGGATGTCTCCAAATGTCATCTTTGTTCAAGGTGAAGAAAAAGAAATATAGAATGTATTACACTTTTTATAAATTTACACAACGTTTCGAATCTACATGGTTCATTCTCAAGTGAATGGACAGTGCTGGGCGTATTGGGATTATACCAATAGGGAGAGCAGGTACATAAATGTACCTGTACATTGAAATAATTAACTGTAGACTGTATTACACATATTATACATACCTTATTGTTTTGTGTAATATCACTTATTGTTATGTACAATTACACTTATTGTACATACATAATATATCTGGACCTGACCTGTACAGGTACCTGTACCTGATGTCATCAATACTGGGGTCCAAAAGCCACCATTCTCATCACCTTCCCTAGAGCCGGTCGACCGAGCGGACAGCACGCTGGACTTGTGATCCTGTGCTCCTGGGTTCGATCCCGGGCGCCGGCGAGAAACAATGGGCAGAGTTTCTTTCACCCTATGCCCCTGTTACCTAGCAGTAAAATAGGTACCTGGGTGTTAGTCAGCTGTCACGGGCTGCTTCCTGGGGGTGGAGGCCTGGTCGAGGACCGGGCCGCAGGGACACTAAAGCCCCAAAATCATCTCAAGATAACCTCAAGATAGAGTGCTGCCCGGCGAGTGTCAGCGCTCCACACCCAACTCTGTGGCTTCACCAACATGTCCATGCAGCCTACACACTGCTACCATGACACAGACAGTACATAGAGACAGAGATACAGATACAGGGACCAAAAACCAGAGTCCATTTAATATGATATTGAAAGATTTGTAGTGGGTCTCGCTGGTACACAGTCAAGTGCCACGGTACTTCGTTCATTGATGAAAGTCCCAGCCTGCCTGTGTAGGGCATGTACCCAAAATCCAACAGTAATCACTGGTTAAATTTGAGTGAGACTAATCCCAATTATCTGGCTTCCAACCTGGAACAGACGGACACTTACATTTATAGATTTAAAAATACATAATCAATATAGTCTGTCTCTTTCTTATTTTGTTTCCAGCCATAACATGTCCATAACACCTCTGGTACCCCCCCCCTCCTTAACAGTGCAAGAGTTATCTTTAATCAAGAAAGGATCAATGTTACGGAGGTGGTTTACGTGCCTCATGAACGCAGAGCAGGGAAAGTGGGACGACACAGGAGCCCCAGGGGCCAGATTCACGAAAGCACTTACGCAAGCACTTACGAACATGTACATCTTTCCTCAATCTTTGACGACTTTGGTTACATTTATTAAACAGTTTACAAGCCTGAAAACTTGCCAATCAACTGTTGTTATTGTTATAAATAGCCTCCTGGTGCTTCCGAGCTCATTAACTGTTTAATAATTGTAAACAAAGCCGCCAAAGATTGAGAAAAGATGTACAGGTTCGTAAATGCTTACGTAAGTCCTTTCGTGAATCTGGCCCCAGGTCATCACTCACCCATGAGCGCCATTATGCGGTCGTTGCACGTGCTGTCATTATGACCGAAAGACTCAGCCAAGACGTAGTCAGTGTCCTCTTCCCAGTCGGGCTCACTCTCCATGTTTCCGTTCTCACTATCATAATCATAACTCTCCCAACTTTCACTGCCGTTGTCACTGTCAACATAACAACGTAAACAAACTATAAAACACTAAGAACCTAAAAATATTATAGTTTGGCCAGTGAAACATGGTATTTGAATTACTCTTTAAAACTTAAACTTTGAAAGTTTATTATAGAACCTCATTGAACACATAATAACTTAATGTTATAAAAACACATGGGGCAAAAATCTTACTGAAGCGACCATACGAGTCATAAATACTCATACTCCGCCTAAGTAAAATAGAAACAAGTAACATTTAGTGGGCCAGCCAGAGGCTTAGGGCCCGCGCAAGAATATCTCTGCAAAAAAAAAAAATTTATAAAACATGTAGAGTATAATAATCAGGAATTTATTCAGAATAATAATCACAAGTTTGAGAATAGTAACCGCAAGTTTGCTGAAAATGTATTTTTTATTTTTACCTAAATGCAGAATTTTTAGTATGTAAATTTGACGTACAAAGGTATTTATAATTTATGAGGTCAAGCGACACACTGCATGGAGAAAACGCGCTATATGAGGATTGACAACCAGCTAGGATATGAAGGGCAGAATGAGGGTCCAGTGATCAAATCCTTTGATTGAACTGTGATCTTTTAAAAAGCGAGACCACCGCTGTACCGACCAACCCATTACTTCAGTATGAAGTAACTGAAAATACGGTCAAACAAAATACAAACTCACACAGAACACTTCCAAAGCAAAAAAAGCAGCAGCGTTTACCTAGAATTCGAATTACGTTTGTAAGGATCATTCCATATGTCATTCGTGAAATCGTCGGAGGCGCTATTCTGAGGTGACTTCTCGCCCGAGAGAGGGCCTTCAGCGGTCGGGGAGTCGTAGTTAATGAGGAGTTTCCATGAACGCCACGTTGACGAGTCCTTGTTACTCTCCTCAGACTCCATTTGTGACTCTGCCCGGAGAGAGAAACATCGTAGTTAAGTACTTAACAAAATGTCAGGGCTGCATGCACCACATAAGGGTAAGACAGGCAGTTACTAATACCATGTAGTCAAAATGTTTATAAAGTTGCTTGAACTTTATAGGCTTGAAATATGAAGATTTTTCTAGACCATATATGGTCAAAACAGGGATTTGCATGCACCATATATGGTCAAAACAGGAAGTTGTCAGCATTATGGGGAACAAAATAGAGGAACTGATTTCACCATAAGGTAAACCAACGCTGTGTTATACTGTGTTATCACGTATCCCGGAGAAAGACCAACACGGCCGTTGAGAGAGTACCAGAGTACTGCAGTATGTATGTTGGCGCATATTACAAACATATTATCACAAACCACCCAGGCTTTGGGTTCCTGAACTTTAGTACACTTTATTTTGAGCGTTTTAGCGGCTACAAATACACGTTTTTTATGCATTGGTTGGCGGCTAAGTTAGGTGGGTGCCTTGGGTATATATATGGTAATGTGTATATATTGTAAAGTGTAAAGAATTCCTAAAATAGCTTTAAGTTGATATGTTTTGATCTTAAGGATCCAAGTAATGAAAAGAGAGTGAGGATCTTCTGTTACTTACCAAAGTGACTTGACTTGTTGCAAGCAAAAGTCTAAGGTTCCCCTTGTTTAAGTACTGTACTGCAAGGATACAACCCACAGCAGTTGCTAAACTCCGTGATATCTGTTTACTTGTAGGTGAGCAGAGGGATCAGATGAAAGGAAACGTGTCCAAACGTCTCTCTGCATTGGGAATCGAACCCGTGACATGTAGCTTGCGAGGGGTCTGAGGGAGGACTGAAGCTCGGAGTCACCCGCAGACATGACCTGCTTGTCGCTCCCTGGATCATGTCAACATATCTTTGTACCTTTCACATAATAGTAGTAGTAGGCATCCATCAGTCTCAGGAGACTATGCCGTCGCAGGAACTGTGAGTTCCAGGGATGACCTCAAAGTTGGCGAAGAAGGGCACAGGGCACACAGAATTAATTATCTAATTTGGTAATTAGATATAAAAGTGAATGAAAGGTGTTTAGAGTCATTAAGACACACCGTGACTCTTGATGACTTACGAGGAGCAGCGATGACAGCCGCTGCCAGCAGCAGGGCCAGGAGTGACAAGAGAAGCGTCATCTTGCGACGTGGTGCCACATCAACGGTGGTGCCACAACTAACCAGGCCGAGCCTGGCACGCTCATCTATCTCCATGTACCATAAATGCCAATAATCGCCAGCCCATTCGTTATACCAAATAAAATGACAATATTCTGAGATCATCTGCAAGATTATTATCACTTTCAGAAACATAAAGTTTACGAATAAATATAATTTGTTTAATTGAATAAAAGTGGAATACATATTTCGTTTGACGTTGGGCTTGTTAGCTACCAACCTCTGGAGGGTTATTACGGCCGCCACAATACCTTACTGACCAACTAGTAAGTTTGGTGTTGGGCTTCTTACCTGCCAACCTCTGGACGCCACCACATACCTAACTGAATATCTAGCAAGTACACCTTAGCCCTGAATACAGTCAAGGGTTTTTTGGCCTTGTTCCGTCTATTCTCCTGGGTATTTTGTAAGTGGTGATCATATCGCGGTTAACATCCATGTTGAGTCATGTTGTTGTAGTTGCATAAGAAGGCTGCTCTCATGTTGAGTCATGTTGTAGTGACTGTATAAGCTGGCTGCTCCAAAGTGTAACACCCTGGATGGATGGGGCAGTTGTTTACGTATGTGGGTGTAACCAGGTCCGTTGTGATTGGTGTGTGATGTGAGAAGTGTACAAGCACGAAGGTTGTGTCGACGGGTCCTGTGAGGTGTAACTGATCCAGTACTGGTCATAGAGTCTGGAGTTTTGTTAGGGGAATGACCACTATATTTGTCATGTCCCGGATGAAAATTATCTTACATTTGTACAGTATACGATTTAACTTTGTAATTTTCTGATGAAATTTTCCTGACAACGTGTTCAGGAATGTAGTGAGGTGTGCTAGAACTTTGTGAATAATGCTAAGATTAGATTGAACAGTGTTTGGAAGTTATAAAGCAAAATTGCACTTCTGCCTGGTAAAAGCTTGGGCCAGTTCCCCCCAGAATGTGGCGTCATCAAAGTTACAATGTCCTTAGCAGGACCAACTTGTGTAATTTCTTAAGAGTACAAAATTTTGCTTCCTAGATTAACACTCCTAATGATTTGTCTTTGAAAGTTTCTGTCATCATTAAGTATATCATTTGTATATCAAATAATTTACAAGTGATTGTATATCATTTGTTATATTTTATGAACAGCTTATATATGTTAACTTTGTTCTCATTTAGTATTAGGTGTTATCATATAATACCTATAAATAATTATTATCCCAATTATTGTAAGTTTTGCCCAGAACTCTGTGCTTAGCAGCGGCTTTATTTATGTGTGACTGTGTAACTGTTCCTCTTTTCCTGTACTTTGTATGTACATTATGCTGTATTATTATTATTATTATTATTATTATTATTATTATTATTATTATTATTATTATTATTATTATTGTTATTGTTATTGTTATATGTCTTTTAGATATATTTATAATGTGTATGAGGCATTGCTAAACTGATTAGTTTATAAATTTGAGATAATCTGTGACTAACGTTTATCCTTATTTTGACAGGGCAGGTAAGGTAATTGTGAAGAAAGGAATGGTGGCCACACACTTGGAGGGTCGGTGAATGAAGAACAAGCTACAAGAAGCAAGACCGTCGCTCTACTGTCCAGTCCAAGCGGTAGGTCACCTACCACCGTATTACCCTCGTACTGTTTATGTTTCGCATCTAGCATTAAATTAATTGATTATTGTGATATTGTCTTGTCTTATAATGTTGTTATAGATCTGATGTCATCAGTGTGGTTCCATTAGACCCTCTTACATAAGTATTTTATTCAAGGCTACACTTTAGTAATGGAGCCTTTGCTGAAGCCTTGAGTGGGGTCTTGAGTAGTGCCTTGAGTGGGGTCTTGGGTAGTGCCTTGAGTGGGGTCTTGGGTGGTGCTTTGGACGATGACCTGAGTGTGGTCTTGTGTAGTCTTGGGTGAAGTCTTGTGTAGAGTCTTGGGTGAAGTCTTGTGTAGAGACTTGAGTGTGGTCTTGAAGCCTACGGTATAGCTGATCGTCACTACTTCTTCCAATTCTTTTAATTTATTTATTATTCAAAGTTCCTACTGTCCCGTTGATTTTTTACTAACAAGAGAAGTTGCATTACTTACTTGTACAATGGTAATTAGCTTATATGCATTTTCTCGTGTCTTGGATGGACAGGGTCATACGTGTTGCTAGATACCATATAGCATAGTGAGTTATTGTAGATAGGTGAGTGTAGGGTTTTTACAGTGGTAACCAACATACATTCATAGTGTTTATCACACCAAGTAACTCAGGTGGTGTGAGGAAGTGTCTGTGTGGTGGTAGACTAAACACTACTGGTGAGAAGGGGAGTGTTTTGTTCAAGAGCTCCACCTCCCACATTGGTACATGCACCTCTGGTTAGGTTCTTCGTGTTTAACAACCTAGACAACACAATAGTGACTGTGGAAGAAAACAGGAAGGTAAAACAATAATCTCTAAAGATTACAACTACAGTCTGACTGGAAACAAAAGTAACACAAGAAAGCCAAAGACAAATAATAGTAATATCAGCCTATCACAGATTAAAGACATTAGACAAACTTTTAACAGTGTGATCTATACATTCTAAGTACTCTAAACTTTCTTAATTCTTCGCAGTGTCAACACTATCCTAAGTGTTTAGTCTAATCACTCTCATGATCCAAGACTTGTTCCGGACCTATATTCAGGTTGGAAGAAACTGGGGCCACCTCTTACGAACCTTCGCTGTTCGTGCTCCCGGAGCTGTAGGGAGAACTGTCTTAATAATCACAATATAATCATAATCATATAATCACAATATAATCATATATCATAATCACATATAACTTAGGGAAGATCAGTCGTGGGCCTTACACCTGATGCCTCTGTTCATCTAGCAGCAAATAGGTACCCGGAAGTTAGGCAAATATTGTCAGTTGCATCCTGGGTCTGGTCAGTCGTTGCTCTAGGGCAAGCGTGGTAAACCTATGGCACACGTGCCCACTGTGGCAAGCCAAATAACTGTGTTGACACAAAGCATGTAGTGTCGCTCCTTGAGTCTCTAAACCCCACCTATATATAAATCAATTAATTAATTTATATATAGGAAGTACATAGCATTGATGTTTTTACATTCTTGTAAAAATGTCTTCTTGTAAAGCGTTTTGGGCAGGTCCTTAATCTAACAAATAATTTGAAGCAGGTAATTTATAGCAAAGTTTAATTTTGTTAACGGGTACATTATAAGAAAATATGACAAAGATTAGTAGGCACATTAAAGTGAAATTTGACGGTTATCAATAGCTACATTGTAGCATAATTTTAAGATCATTTCAAGGTATAATGCAGTTAAATATGCGTTTTATATAACAACCATGATATAAGATGATAGCAATGATTACAATGGTGAAGTTGAATGGCTTAGGTACATATATTGGGGGGGGGGGGGGTTAGCACTAGATACAGTGCGAGTTTCAAGCACTAGGTAGGAAACTATGAAGATGAAATTAGGTACTTTTTGGCTTTATTTTTGAGTAAGGCAAAAGTTGGACAGCTTTTCAATTCATTAGGAAGTGATACAGATTAAGTTTGACTCTGGGAATATCAAAGAGATATTTATTTCTATTGTAATTATGGATTCTATTACATGTGTCTAGGAAGAATTTCAGAACAGGGTTTTGTAAATGTAAATGGCACAAGAGAATGTGTAGAGTGAGTTTATGTTTAGCATGTTTAGGGATTTAAACCGGGGGTGGGGGGCTGAGTGTTGTCTGTAAGCAGAGTTTGTTATTGTTTTGATAGCAGATTTTTGCTGAGTGATGATGAGCTTGAGGTAGTTTGCAGTGGTTGAACCATCATACACAAATACCATATGTAAGATAGGAATAGATTAGCGCATGATATAGTGAGAGGAGAGCAGAGTTTGGAACATAATATCTGATTTTAGAGAGTATATCAACCGGCGATGAGTCACAATAACGTGGCTGAAGTATGTTGACCAGACCACACACTAGAAATTGAAGGGACGACGTCGTTTTTCAATCGACTTGAGAATGGTCCAGGACGGACCGAAACGTCGTCGTCCCTTCAATTTCTAGTGTGTGGTCTGGTCAACATCAATATATCAACCGTTTTTGAGACTTTCTTAGTTATGTGTATGTGGGTGCTGAAGTTGAGTTACAAAGATAATTAATATTATTCCTGTGCATGTTTTGAAAAAAAGACAATCTCAAATTTACCGAGTGAGAAGAATTCGGCGTACATAGGACTGTATGTGTAGAACAGTGTTTCGGTATACACAAGACTACTTGTGTACAACAGTGTTTCGGTATAGACAAGACTACTTGTGTACAACAGTGTTTCAGTATATACAAGACTACTTGTGTACAACAGTGTTTCGGTATACACAAGACTACTTGTGTACAAGTGTTTCGGTATACACAAGACTACTTGTGTACAACAGTGTTTCGGTATAGACAAGACTACTTGTGTACAACAGTGTTTCGGTATAGACAAGACTACTTGTGTACAACAGTGTTTCGGTATAGACAAGACTACTTGTGTACAACAGTGTTTCGGTATAGACAAGACTACTTGTGTACAACAGTGTTTCGGTATACACAAGACTACTTGTGTACAACAGTGTTTCGGTATACACAAGACTACTTGTGTACAAAAGTGTTGACTTAATGGAGGTTCTGTCCTTAATCGAATCGTTTAGTGTTTGGGCAAAATTTGTCTGTTTTTGACGAATTAACATTTTTCTTGCCAAGAATTAGCTGACAATCAATGTGTTGATTTGTAGCGCATTTATTATTTGCAGATTTCTCCTTACATTTAAACGACTAGAATTCCAAATTACAAGCATCTTGCAAAAAACTTGAAGTTCAGTTTAATAACATAAGAGCCTTTGTAATCAAAGTGAAACATTTTAAACGTGACGTTGACAATAACAGCTTAAAGTTGTAATGAAAGCAGTAACCTCACAGGAGGCAGCTAGATGCACGA